ATAACAGAACCATGTATATCCATAGCTTGTATTTTATCGAAGGTTTAATTCTAAGTGGGTCAAGATAAATAATCCGGTGCTAAATATTGAAGGATGACTCTCAGTTGTTCTGAAGTGAGCTCACAAAGATAAACTGCGCGTCTACCGGTTCATACCGCTAGCATTTACATTATTATATATATAATATTTTTTTTCTTATATTTAGCTCAAAATTTTGAGCACAAACGGTTTGCTTCTAGAATTGTTTTTGAATAGCTCTCTAGAGCTGCATGACATGATTCTTACGATATGTTTTCGGTCAAACCGATAGTTTTCTACGAGACATAATCAAAATGTAAATATTTATGCTCTATTTCTTATCATGGTAAGGTTGAAGAGCTTCTATTGCGGTTTTCCGAGGTGCCCATGAACCGCTAGGCCATATTGTGCTATATTGACGCCAAAGGCAGTTGCAGGAATAAGTGAATTTGCTGAATTGCTTTGCCTTATTTACCGCATTGTTTAACCTTAATAAACATGCATTGCTTTCATTCTCGTACAGTCTTTACAACTACCCTAAATGCTCTGGTAAGACAAACTATAATAGATAAGGTGTCTTATCAAAATCATAGAAGTATTTCGCATCCCCTAACTACGGACGCACTTATATATAATAACCAGAGAAGTTGCCAAAGGCAATACTAAACGAGTAACGGTGCACTGGAGCAACTCAACATCATACTGGACTCTACAGGACATATTGCTTTGCTCGTATATTCGTGTGTGCCGGGAAAGGTCTAGGATTCTCTAATATTGTTTTCTACAGTTCTTCGAAACTATAATAACATAGTCTTTATGTAATGCTTAAGAATCTGAGATAACCCATATAAAAGTCTCTATTGTGAACGTCAAAGATGCGGGCGAGTTAGATAAGATCTTACTCTGATACATATACCATTTTTTTATCAGAGTTTAATTCCTATTGAATCTGTTGATATTTTTTTCTGAAATATTATTTTAATTATCTGCTAAAGCGGCCATAACAGCATGGATAACAAGTACTGCACGTTGCTGCTTTGCATATTGCGACTTGCCATAGTGGGTTTAATAGTGAGTTGCTATGAGGTGCTCCTTGGATTCGTATCGTACTTAAGATAAATTATGACGCAAGCTGCTCTACTGAATAATGTATAATTTTTGCCATAGGGCAGCAAAATAAATTTCTCATTTGATACCTTACTTTTTGTAACACAACGAAATATTGCTTATAGGTATATAGATAATAATATATAAAAAAATGTATAGACTTTACAAGAAAATTACTAACATTTTAATTAATGCTGGTGCAAAAAGTCTGCTCCTTTCATTCTGCCTTGACCACCTGTAACAAATTTTACTCGCTAAAAATTTGAAAGCTTCCTTCAAGATTGAGTAATAGTCTTCTACACCTCAACTATTCGGCCCTAACTACTCCAAAGCCCTTTCATTTCTTTCATGCAATACGACTCTTAAATCGCTTGATTTATCGCCTTTTTCGCTTTATTTACGTAGTTACTTAGCAGATTCACTTTCCCTAGCTGTACTGCTCAAAGCAGCATTGTGTTAATTAATAAGTCGTCGTATTTTTAATCTCGGCGCTTGTTCGGCCTACAGTTCCCAAAAACAAAGCCTGTTTCTGCGTTTTCTTGCCCCAATCCACGTATCGGGGCCGTAGCTCGGTCGCAAAGAGTTCCAAATAGGCCGAAAAGGCAGCCGATAGTGATTCTCATTAGATAAGACAAGAATGGCGAAAAACAGACAAAGTACAGCAGAAAAGGTACCACCTACCACAGTTGTCTTTCTACAGAGAACCCGGTCACGATCTACCCAATCGAACCGAACGAGTGGAAGCGAGCGAGCGTGGCAGCGATCGACGCCGCAAACGGCGGTCGTCTCAATTAAAGGAAGTTATTGTTAGCATCCTGCCCAGCAGCAACCCTCTTCGCCAAACGGTTGTTTCTACCGGCGCCATTGATGTTCGCTTTTGCGATGTTAACAGCGGAATCTGTAGGCTGGCACTGACCCTAATGTTGAAGGTGGGTAAGGCGTGCCTCATGCTGGTGCTTCTGTGCCTACTAAATCATCGTTCATCGAGTCGTAGTGGTCATGAGGAACCAGGTAGCTATTGCGCGTCTAACAGCACATCGGGATCCCCGTTATTAGGGTTTGTCCGTTTTCTGTGTGACTGAACACTGCGCTGGTGAGAACCCGGTGTGATGATATATAACGACAAGGGCTGAAACGGGCGCCGTACGTTAGTGATAATCCAATTCGTTCTTTTCCAACCCCTTTCCAGCCCTTTTCGCTTGCTGTTTCCGATAGTCGGTCGATCATCAGTCAGTCAGTCAGTCAGTCAGTTCAACTCGATTACAATCATCTTCCGGAACGATAGTAGAAGTAGCGATGCGACATATACGTGGCAGCCCCTCACCTCTCTTTAATTCCCACTTCCGTTGTAGCATTACGCCCTCGTCGCCTACGCCAGTCATGGTTGCTCTAATAGCATAGAACAAGCACGCGACCCACACCGTCAACGACCGCTTGCTTTAGTCTCATATAATCTACCGCACACGAAAAACTTGGCCAAGTTGTTGGATCGGCGTAGACGGGCAAAGTCCGGGAAACCATAACGAACACCTTCAAAGCTGTAAACGGCAATTTTTAGAATTTGTAGGAGTTCAGCTATTGCTACTCTTGTTTACAATCGTAAGTCACTGACAGATGGACACAGCTGCTTACTATTGTTGCTTTGCTCCTTCGAAAGCTCATTGATGATGTGTGCGTTGTCTGTTGTGTACATGTATCTATATTTGCGCTGCATCTCAATATCAGTAACGTTTAGCTTGGCATATAATGACTTCTAGAATATCTATCGAAACGTCTACGTTTGTGTTGAACTTGGAGATCTCGAGATTTTTTTTTACAATTGCGTTTAGGTTCAGAGCGCATAGAACTTCCTGTTAATAAAGAAAAGCGAAATTTGCCCATCATATATGCACGACTCGCTTGCTATAATGCAATAGGGTCAAAAAAACACACAAAAACCTTTCCTAGAAGTGGTGCTTTTCTCCGCGCCCGTAACGATTTGTAATCGCGAAAATCAGACTCAGAAACAACATTTTCGGCTAGCCCCACTTTTGCCCAGTTGAACAACACGAACTGGGCTATCTGCCAGATTGCATCTGCCACTTCATGGCAAAAGAAATCACTTTATGGGTAAAAGGACATATATTGGACAACCTACGCGTTTCCAAATTATCTATTCATAATGTCTGTAACTCCTTTTATTTATTAGCGGAACTATCAACATTTTTGTCGCGTTAGCTTGTTAGTTAGTATTTCGGTTATCTGTGAGCAAGTTGACTCGGCAGTGCTGTCCCGCTTCAAAAGCGCGCCTATACACTCTCGCGTGAATTTTCTCCCAAGAATAAGGTCCTGCCCGAGCTTATATTTTTGTCCGGTTTGTCTAGTCGTTTTCTCCAAAGACCACGGAATATAAATTATCTTAGAGCATTTGCTGCTTGAAGCTGAGTGAGCACATTGGTCTCCAGAGTATTAAAAAACATCACCCGCCAGTTCCTACCAGTCGTCTATTATAGACAATGAGTGACAAAAGTTATCGGGAAATGGTCGTTTCAGCTGACGACATTACACTTCCAAATCGACACGAGCAACATAACGACAGAGTACTTCATCGATCCGAAGCCAATGATTGCTTCCTTTCGGCGGGAGCTTCCCGCCCGGTTTAATAGCAACTCGCTGGTCCGTCGCTAAGCTTCACAAGCTTTCCCTTCGCGCCCCCCTCCAGTGAGGAACATGGAGCGTTGGACAAAAGTGGGGAAACAATTTGCTCGAATTAAGTAAGTGTAAATCGAATTCTAGTCTATCAACTCGATGGTCCTATCAAGTGCGGCAAGGAAGCTGGAAGGACCACGCTGTTCGTAATCGCGAAGTCGCCCTACGCTACACGTCGGTTTTCTTAACACCCGTTTCGCGTTCACTACCTTCGTCGCTGGCGCAATTTCACTTACTACCCGCCGAATGATGATGATGACGACGTCGATCGTGTGTTAGCCGTAATGACGGTAATTCCCACTGGAAAAAGCAAGCGCTACAAAACCATTTTCGCGCTCTGCGCTCTCTTCTGTGTTGATGTAGAGCATTGCGCACATGAGAGTCAGTGCGACACTGACAATTAAAAAAGAGAGAGGATGCAGGCTATAACTAAATTGCACGTGCGTGCAGCTGCGACCTTACTCAAAATTGAAAAAGTAGAAGCGCCTGGCTTGGGAACACGACAAAAACGGGGTACTTGATCTTGATATCTAACAATACAGCGACGATGGATATTAAGGATCAGAGGGCTCTGTTCCGTACTAAACTGTATCCGGTGAAATTTGCTAATACCAATGCAAACGCCTTGGCCCTTATATATTAATTTTTTTTTAGAAATTGTATCTAAAAAAGAGTGCGAACAATGATCCCTGTAAGGTTAACATAGAAAAACACGGAACCACTTTGTATTTACTGTAAGCGCTTCCTGTTGACTCGATTGTTCTTTTAATTATCCAGGGATACCTGAAAATGGAAAGGAGACCATTGAAATTGTTTAAGCGTAAAATCATTTGGCACTAAAAAAGGGTTTTATCAGTTAAATTGAGGTCGGGCAATTTAGCCTACGACATTATTTATCCAGAGGATAGCATAATACTATAGATTTTTAGAATAATAATAATAATTGCGAATAATTGTTCCGAATGTCAGAAACAGCTAATTAAGTGAATCTACAGAAATAGAGTTGGATATCTAAAAGACACTGTTATACTGAAAAAGAATATCTTAAAAGACACTGTGAGAGTACGTTTAAAATCGCGTGCTCTATTCAAAGCTGTATGGCTTCTTTTGACCATTTTACTGATCCGCGCATAAATACGACCTCCGTTAGAGAAAAAGCACTTTGGAAAATGATATGCAATGCGCAATAGACGGCAAAGTTTATTTAAACACATTGTATAGATCAACTCCTGTCATGATCGTATTGCTACGTTATATTATATTTACCTAAATAAAACAAATAGTAGTGAAACTACATTGTATCTGTAGGATTTTTACAGAAAACATATTTTGATGGAATACAAATTGAAGCTGTCTGTCACACCAGACGATATATTATAATTTTATAATTCATAATTATAATATTATATAGGTATTAAGTGCGCAGTTTTGTCGGCAGTCTTCAAAATCGAAGGACTGGGTCTGTTGTCGTCTCTATTCTGTATTGATCTTTACTTTATTTTCGCATAACATTCATCGGCACAATTGTAAAGTTTTGTCAGAAGATACTTTAATCACTAGTCAATCTGGCATACGTAATGATATCGGGATGCATCGTGACCGTGAGGGCGGTAATTATAAATGTCACATAAAGGAACATCAGTATTATACAATGAGTTGAACTCGAACGGAATTCGTTGCAGCTTAAGAACAGCACCGACACCAACAGGCTGCCATTAAGGGCTGCATAAAGCACAAATAGTACGTTCGGACAGTAAACCCGTATCGACCATTTCGAGTCGCTGATCATTCGAACAGTGAGGCCACTGCCCAGACCGACGAGCAGATTAAGCATGGGTCCGGAAAACGCTGCAGCTACCGCCATTGAAGGATAACCTTGTTTTGCCACGGTAGAGTCAGTGATCAAGTCTCCAATACTACTGCCCCATGCAAGAATCGTCAGACCCAGCACACTATCATCAATGTGTTGACTTATTCCCACGGCTTTCAGGATTGCCATCAATTCACGGCAGGCCGCATAGATGAAACAAACTCCGGTGAAAAAAGCCAAAAGAGCAAAACAGAAGTGGTATCGCGGAGCTTTGTCGCACGACGATGTCATCATTACGACGCCTGCGGACATCATCCCCATTGCCAAGGCAAACATAGCGACCGGTACATCGAACAGCTCATAATCCTTAAACAGTATTAAGGATACAGCTAACGGTGCTGTTATACAATTGATGACGTTGAGAGACTTACACCAGTTGTCCTTTTTGTGCTCGTAGTCGACAACGGGAACGGTGAGTGCGAGCGTGATCTGAATCGGTATGGCGAACAGCCGCAAGATGACGCTTGACGTCGACTCCTTTTTCAGCTCTTGCCAGCTAATGGGCGCCACGTGAATCCAGAACTCCTTCCAGAGTGATAACTCATCAAAGTCTCCACATTCTGTTTCCGAACTGTCTGTAACACTTGATAGACGGTCAAGTTGATTTCGTATCTGCATTATCGATTGGTATCCCGCTGTACTAGTGGATGCTGAGCGTCTCCGCTGGTCGAAAGCTTCCCTCGAGATCATACTCTGTGGAGTCGTCCCGGTTGAGCAGATGGACCCAGTTCGAGCATGAAAAATAGGCAGGCCGGGTGACGCTGGAACCCCGTTAAATGTTTGTCCATACGATTGTAGCAGCAGTTGCTTTATGGCGTTCTGGTGGTGGACGTTTAGCCCTGACGGGCGTCGCCGTCTTGTTCCGGTCGGCGTCTGATCGGGTAGAAAACACTCGGTTTCTGGGAAGTCGAACGCCGTGATGTTTAACGAGGGCGTCGGAGGCGGTCCGTCTGTATTATTTCGGGCCCTGCAGAAGAATTCTCGAACCAAAACCGTTAAGATGTAGGCGGCGTAGATTCCAAGAAAGCAGCTACCATGGTAAATTGTCGCCTCACCGAATCTGAACATCGAGAAAGCAATTGCTGCTGCAAGCATGTAGAAAGCCACGTCACGCGTGAATGAGAACTGGTCAATGATAAACGAACTTGAGTAGATAACGTAGCCAACGACAATCGTTGTGACGAAGATTCCAGCACCGAATAGTTCCGAGATTACAAGAGTTAGTCGACCCTGCTTGACAGCGGTAAATGAAGCAATAATATCTGGCGCTCCATTGCCAATAGCAAGGAACGTTACACCGGCAACTGCCTGTGATAAGTCAAGCTTCTTCGAAATGGCTACCAAGGATGGACACAGATAATCGTTGGCAGTGACTGCCAATATACCAAACAGGTATAGCGACCAAACGCATAGCACACCCAACGGTAAAAGTGGTGCATACGGCATACAATAGATAATGTCAAGGTAAGGAATGAATCCATCAGTTTGGTGACAGTCATCACATATTGATACGAACTCACACTGCTCTGCAACGTCCGTCAGATTGTGGACAGCGCCACACTCCAGCGGCCATATAGACATTTCGATTCTGCTAGCTGAACTAACAAAAAAAGACAATTTTTCTAGCCTGAGTAGCGGCTATTACAAGTAGTTAACTGAAGGATTAACGGCCCACAGTCGTATCACTCGTCTCACGATCACAACCGTGTTTCTTGATTCCTGCCTGGTCCTCTCACCTGCTAACGCCGAATAGGAGACTGTAAGTGCACAAGCACAACAGCCAATTTGTCGAATTAGAGGCAGTTGTTGGGGAAAACTCAGAAAGCGGCATGCGGTACAGCTGCTGCTACATACGCTACCGCCAAGCGCCGTTGAGTGGTGCCAAACTCTGGCCCACCCGATGAACCAGTTTGCAGGATACATGCATTGTTCTCGGTTCTGCTCGAGAATGTGTCGTCGTCTATACGTTATTGACCGTAACAAACTTGGGAGGCTAGGGGAAGAGTGTTGGGGGCGGAAAGGAAGATTTTCCCGCAATTGTTTTGCTAGACCAACTAATCAAATGGATAATCGTGGGCGGCAAGGGTACGGACGCTGTAGGATAGATAAGAGGATCGACAGTATAATAAGTACACCGCAATAACTTCTCCTATAACGTAGCTAAGACGACTTATAAGCGACAAATATACCACAATTGTTTTCTTCGACCACTAGCGTATTTTTAGCGTAAGCGGCTGTAGAAAGCGTTCGTTCGTTGCGTTTGTTAGAGTATGAGGCTGGCTCCGTTACATCGACGCACTAGCGACGCAAGCTGCCCGACGAGGCTGGTCTTTGGGAGCTGTGCCCATTGACACACGCAGGACGAGCGACGCTAGCAGTGGCGACTGTTCCATTTTGGAGCAAACAGCAGTAGCGTTAAAACCACGAACGTCAGCAGTGTCCTCATCGTCGCCATTACCAGTATGCAGCTGCAGGGGTGTCTTCTTTCTTTCACGCACAGGGCGCACCTTTTAGGGCCGACCTTCTCACACAGCAGCGGCGAGCTTTCCGTCACGGAAGAAGTTGTTTTTGACCGAAAGTCTCTCTTTCTAGTGCCAAGAGTTAGTTGCTAGAGGCGATGATGAATAGAGGCGGATGTTTTTAGCCGGCTGAGTCGGTGTGAGAAGAGGAATGACGGGTCGCAACAGTAGTAGTATTGCTTGGGCTCCATCGTGAACCGCCTATCATCAACTGTTTTCCGTCCATGTTAAAAGTAGCTGGGGAAGGCGGTAAACACCACTATATGCCTGGCTGCGCATCGTGTGTGTGAGTGCAACACTTTTTCCAGCCGGTTTCACAAAAGCCGGCTTGCGATTCGTGACTGTTTTGTATGTCGGGCTTCATCGAGCAATAGAGTGAACACCTACAAAAAACCGCCTAGTCGTGCGGCAGAATTGCCAATGCGTAGGTGCGTGTCCACGATTCGATTAGATACTGCTACAAGGCATAGCTAATTGAAAGCCACTAGTACATCCTTCGTTTTCCTTTATACAGCCTATGTTGAATTTAATACTTAAATACCCGTATTATATATATATGTAAGCATATGAAATATGAGCATCATAACACGGCCAGCCAGTCGATGAGCTTTTAATACAGGTGCTGACTCGGGTGTGGGTGATGTTCGAAGGTCAGGTGCTTTGTAAACCTATTAAATATGATCGTTTCATTTAAAAGGTCGTGAAGCAAATCTAAAGACCTTCAAATATCTCATGATTTTATAAATGCCTATTCCGTTTCATTGATAATAGCATAAAACTACGAACACGAGGCGCTAACCATATCACAGAAAATACGGCCAGCGTTCTAGCAAACGGAGCGCACTGCATACTTTACTTACCGTTACCAAAACTCATTTGCAGGTCCAACACAGATTTTTGATTGGCCATATCAATAAGGTAAAAAAAAAAATTATTTTTTTGGTTTTCGTTTACTTAGAAAGGTCATGTTAGAAATTGAGCCAATCGAAGGCTGGCATTATTTTTTTATAGTTAACCGTCGCTACACAATCGCGATATATAATTATAAATGATCGCAAGTAAAAATAGTTCACTCGTCAGCGGATTCGTATAACATGTAATACTTTAGCGTGAATTGAATCACCTTGTAGAATTAATTGTTATGTGGCATTTGGTATTTCATAGTTTTCTCAGTACGAAAGTTGAATCCGTCTATTATGGGAACCAGGCAAGGCCTATGGTTGGAGAGTACATTTTCATCAAAGAGTAAAACAGATAGCAAACTCGAACAAATCAACAGATAAAGCTTTCGAAAGACTTTGCATGCATATTCACGTATATACACGTCTATTTAGCTATTCACTGTTTTAGCTTGTTTTGGGCCACAGGAATACAATACAGCCACCCTCTCAATAATCATACTTGAAATGCTGCTTTGATATGGAACCCGTTAAAAGCTAGCTTGTTTTTCCATATCTGTATCTCACCATATCGATAGTACTTAGTTCCCATGGGAGTCTTCGTCATACCTAAGGATTTTCGTAGCCATCCCTAATACTGTTGCTGCTGATGCAGTTGGTACAGTAAGGTCTGCTCGTTTTTTCGCTACTACTACTGCCGTCACAGCCATAGCTTGGCCTAGTATGGCCGGCAGTGGCAAAGTCAGATGATTTCGCAAAGAATCCGTGTTCTCTTCTCATGTCGATGATAACGGTTTCATATGGCTGAACCCTAACGCCGAGAGGCTTGGTGATTCTCGCGATGTCGATAGGATACTATGGGCATCATTGTCGCCCACCCCGGTGGCAACAGCCCGCTCAGTTGGTCTCTGTCAGTACATAGACGTTGTCTTTTTCCTTTCTTCTTGCGTTCTTTTCCTTCTCTACCCGTCCTATCGCGTTACCTTTCTCTACGCCTCCACACGACGCCTCTCTGTTAGCTGGCATTTGTTGAAGCAGAGGCTAGCGGCCTGTGCCTGAGGGTGAGTGACTTTGCCTTTGGTATCCTTTCCTTATCCCTGGATTCCTCTCTCCGTTCTCCTTCAACTCCCGTATCCCGATCCTCCTTGACCTGCTTCTCCTTCTCAGGCAGAGCAGCAGTGACAGTAGATCGAACGTCGTTTGTTTAGCAGTGTGCTAAACCAGCTCTGGGGCCATGTGCTAGACAGATTTTTAACCGCCAGCACCTTGTTGTGTTTCTGCTTTTCTGTCTTTCCATCGTTTGGTTTGGCCTATCACCACCACCGGTGCTGCTGTGGCTGCTGGTTCCTTTTGTCCTGGTTTGTCTCCTTGTCGTTCCCAAAGGCTTCGACGGTGAGTGTTCTTTTAGCCTCCTTCATCTTCTACTCCTGCACCCGAATCCTTGGCGAGCGCTTTCTCCCCCTTTTTCTCACTGGACAACAGCAGTAACGGCATCGGCTATCTGGTGGGATTTGCGCTTTTACTCACGATAACGGCCCGCTCCTTATCTTAACGCTAGGGATCACTGGATGCCGAATGCTACATCAAAAGCTGCATATATATATAGAGGAAATTGAGGCATCGTTATATATATAAGCAAGCGAGATAAAGCAGCTAATGCTATCAGCAACCTTGTTCATGTTTTTAAATGAGCAGATCTGAATCGGCATCTGTTAGTCGGCCGGTAACTCGAATATGGTTGATTTTTACATTGCCTAACGGAAGTCGTCAGCTGTGCAAGACTGACTGTGATTAACACTACAATGGAACGCATTGATGAGTGACGCTTTAAGCAAAGCTCGACAGTTTGCTCTTCTCGTACTTGTGACTACCCGTATATCGTGTGCAGAATAAAAACATACAACTGGAAGATGCACTGAAATCAGTTGAGTCTATCTCATTTTCTCAAAGGGGAGACGGTTATTATATCCAGGGCCAAATACAACGATAGTACCCCCACCCCAAAACACTTAATACAGTACGGTCTTCCACACGCACATTGGAATACACATTTTCTGTTCGGTCCATAGTCTCAACAGCAGAAAATATTTCTCCCAGGCCTTCTTCTAAAATCAAAAGTTAGAATGGAACAAACAAGCTAATACTGTCTCGCAAAATAAGATTGCACCGAATTCTGGCTGGATTGTGTATTAGACGTTTTTTTTTCTACTACTGCATCCCCGACGAGCCTCGCAACTCGGTTATAACAATTCATTTTTACCAAATTGTCCTTTTAGGCCAAGCAATATAAACTAGCCAGAACAATTGTTATAGTTCACCATAAAACGCGAACATGGCAGCAAAGATTTGCTGCATCCAGGCAATCTTTTTTTGAGCCATTTTGCGTAAGGCTCTAATTATAGCGCCAGGTGATGTTCTCCAAAAAGCATTCTTACTGTTCTCCGACGGCCTCTAACGCGTCAGGCGCCAATACTATGTAGCCACAAAACGGCTTACCCAGCCCATAAAAGAGTGGTTCATGTAGTACGTAACAATATGTATGTATATATAGAGACTAGGCTAGAAACCGGGATGGGGCATCTCCATCCGTCGCATGATGACCTCTCTTTCGGTACAGGCACCTAACATTATTAGAGTCGTGTATTAAATGTAGAGGCAGCCTCATGCTGACCGGGGCATGCAGCTTTTACTTAGCAAACTGCAAGACAACGTTGGCATTGCTTGTATATACGATACCAAATTTTTTTTCAAGTTCCTTTATACATCAAGCACCGTCTTCTTTTTTTTTTGCATCCATATCGCTCCTATTACGAATGCGTCGTCTGTCGAGAATTCGTGAACCACTTAGTAGCAATAGCCATCGTGCTGGCTGTTATCTCACCAGTACCTATACAATCCCGTATCAACAAAAAGTTAGCGAGTTTAACGATTCATCACGTTAAGAGCCGCACTCAAATTCGACGGCTGTCGACGCCAGACAGAGACTGAAGCGCTAACCTCATGGCCTGGCACTACTCCTTGTCTCACATGGTTTCGCAGTTTTTCTCTCCAGGCTCTAGGCTAAATCGCTCGTCATTTATACCACTGGCAATAGTTGTCAGAACAAGCAACTAGTATCCCACTGCCCAGAAACGATTACTGTTTCAGTGGCTTATTCGAGCATCAACTACCTGTTACGACGGTTCCGTGACTCCTCTTTTTGTCCCGTGAAATACCCATAGCCATCATCAACAGTCCCGGACGACAGAGTACATCAGCCCAAAATCGGCTCGATTTTTACCGAGAACACCCTCCGACGTTTCTCTTCTTCTTTGCCAATTCCTCTGCAACCCAGCTTCCAAACCTGTCACAATAGCCTAAAGCAGCTATGTCAGCAGTGACCGAATTACTCGACCATTGTGATTGCGGATAACAACCCTGGCTGTGACCTCTTCTATGCAATGACGAGCCATTCTGATCCAAATCTGTCCGGTAGCCACTTGGCCGTAGCATTGTCATCGTTGTTATGAAGGAATCTTCCTCTTCTATTGCCGAAACTCCGTTTTCTATTTCGCTTCATAGCTTTTGCCATTTCATCCGCTTTGTTGAAGGCTTGTTGTGCTGCAGGCGCAATGGCGTCCTGGTTGACGCGTACAGCTATCGCAAGTACTCCAGTTCAGGCCCCCTCCGGAATCGGCCTCCTACGCATATGAATCCCCATTCTATCTATATTTTCTCTTTTTTGATTTCTCTTTTTTTTCTCTGTAAGTCAATAGCTTTCTATGTACTCGTTGTCTTAGGGGCCCGCTTACGCGATGTAGCCACGTGCAGAACCCCAGAGTGCTTTTCTGCATGTCCCAGTAGAACCTGAAGGGCATATTAGCCTGAGACGCCGGCAGTGGCGCAGAACTTGTGGCTAAACTACTGCATCGTTGCTAGATAGATTAGAAGCATAAGTCGTACCGGTAGCGCGCAAGTGTCACAAGGTGACACGGTGAT